GGGACAGTGCCAAAACCACCGATTTTCTAGACATCCTTGAGGGGCAGCCGCAAAGGCTTGTCAGTGGAGCAAGTGGGTGGGAGGATGCAATCCAAAGCTTCAAGAAGGGTGGTTCCGCTGGCATTGCCATCCTTACAAGTGACCTTCATTCTTTGAACCAAGGATGTTAGCACTTGGCTCCAGCATGTTGTCACCATTCCAACCAGAAATTGGCACAAATGCTACAATGTCAGGGTTGTAGCTGATTTTCTTAAGGTAGGTGCTGACTTCCTTAACAATTTCCTTGTATCTCTTCTGGCTGTAGGATGGCTCTGTGAAATACATTTTGTTAGCCCCAACAATTAGTTGTTTCACACCCAGTGTGTAAGCCAGAAGGGCATGCTCATGGGTCTGCCCATTCTTGGAGTTACCAGCTTCAAATTCACCAAGACCAGCAGCAACAATCACGACAGCACAGTCAGCCTGAGATGCGCCTGTAATCATATTTTTGATGAAGTCTCTGTGTCCAGGGGAATCAGTGAAAGTCACATAATACTTGCTGGTCTCAGAGTTCCACAGGGAGATGTCAATGGTGATATGACACTCACGCTCAGCTTTCAGCTTGTCCGACACCCAGGCATACTTGAAGGAACCCTTCCCCATCTCAACAGCCTCCTTCTCAAATTTTTCAATGGTTCTTTCATCAATGCCACTGCATTTGTAGATCAGATGGCCAGTGTGGTGGACTTGCCGGAGTCCACGTGTCCGATGACAATGCTATTAATGTGGGTCTTTTCCTTTCCCATGTTAGCTTGGATTTAGTAGTGGCTTTCACTACGCCTGTGCTCTCGTGGCAAACCCATTGTGAAAAAGCCCTACGCCTCCTGATACCTTTCACATTTAAAAAGGATCTAGCTATCTACGTCCTATTAAATATCTTTATTTTATGATTTATTTATAATTTGGGTTTCTCATATGAGAGAAACCACATGATATTTAAGTTTGCATGTCTAATTTATTGCCTTAACACCATAATCATTTCCTACAAATGACTCAAGTTGGTCCTTCCTTATGGCTGACTGGTAATTCATTGTGTAGAACTACCACATTTTCTTTACCCATTCATGTGTCTGTGGGCATCTGGGATACTGAGAACATTTAGCTACTCTGAGTCATGCTGCTAGAAACAGGAGTGCGCATAGATCATTGTGACATGATGTCTTAATGTGTTCAGGAAGACTTCAATGAGGGGACTGCTAGATCAAAGGGAATTTCTAGTTGTAGTTTTCAGGGTTTTTTGTTTGTTTGTTTGTTTGTTTTATTTTCTCTGTTTTTTAGTGTACTTGATACAAGGTCTCACTATGCAGCTCGGACTAGTAGTGATCCTCCTGTTTTTCAGCCTCCCCAGCACTGATTTTATAGGTATGAGCCACCAGGCCTGGTCTCAGCGGCCAGCTCAGGGTGCCCAGGGGCAGGACCCATGCGGAATGTGGTGCCTGGAATCAAACCCCGGTCCCTACACTTGCCTAAGCAGGAGCTTAGTTGGCTGAGCTATCTCACCAGGCCCCTAGGTGTAGTTCAGTGAGGAATCTCCATACTGATGCCATAGTGGTTGTACTTGTTTAGATTGCCAACAACATGGTTATTAATGTTATGAGCTGCTTCTTCCAAGGTTGGAGAGGGAAGAGCTCTAACACTGTTCTCCAACAAAGAGTGTCCCACAGCAGGCGAGGCCCCGTGCTTATCAGATGGTATCCTGAGAGGAGCCAGTGCTCAGCCCCCAGGGCCGGGTGCTGTGGTGCCCAAAGCTGAGAGAATGCAGAAGACCCTCTCAGGACAAGGAACACAACAAGAGCCCACCTTGCAAATTTTCAGTGAGACACACACTCTCTGGGGTACGTGTTCCTAAGGACACCTTCCAAAGCCTTGCATGGAGCACATAAAGCGATGACCCCCGAAAGGTGAGCTTTTGTAATGTCGGGGTGAATCTAGCCCTGCTTCTGGGCTTTGTGGGTGGGAGTGGAAGGGAGGGTGCTGCTTCTCCCTGAGCCTGCTCTGCTGCTCTGTGAAATAAGTCGGGCCGGCCTGGTTCCCGCTGCCTGAGGAGACCCAGTCCCCATCCTTGAGACCCAGAGTCTCCAGCTTAAGCTGAGCAGAGCAGCAGCCAGCCCCAGCCCTTGCTTCTCGCCCCTCCCGTGCCCATTCCAGGGACCCCTTGCCCAGGCTCCAGAGCCCACTGGCTCTGCTCTGTGTGCTCAGCTAGGGACCAGTGGCATTTTCAAATAGCAGCTGTCCTCTCTGTCACCTGTGAATCTCTCTGTGCTTCCTGAAGCTTTCCTCTCTGAGGAGAGCATTTCTGGCTGCCCGTCCAGTGGGTGGGCGCAGGAGCTGCACGGTGCATTCTTGTCTCTGGGGCTCTTCCCACATTGTGGCCAACGCGGGCTCCTGTCTCAAGCCTCTTGAGACTTCCAAACGCTGATGGCTCCTCCTCACCTCGGCTCGCTCATGCTTCTGGAAGCGGTGGATTGCTAATGCTCAGGACAAGTGATGTTGATAGTGTTCTTTCTTCCTATAGTTTGCTCACTGTACGGGCTTCCTGGGGTCTAATTTGGGGAAAACTCCAATGATGGGCTGGGAGATTTTGCGAATCCCAGGGGTCTGAGCTCCTCAGCCTCTCTCTCAGCTCTGAGTTCTCCAATCTTGAGAACCATGGGAGACCTGGGGTAGCGCAGTGGGAGAGCGTTTTCCCAGCATGCTCTAGGCACTAGGCTCAATCCCAGAACTGACTGCACAAACAAAACTTTTAAGGGCTGAGGACGTAGCTCAGGGGTAGAGACCTCGCATAGCATGTGAGGCTCAGGGCTCAATCCCCAGTCAGAAAAAAACAAAGCAAATAAAACACAGGCATCACGGGCACCCAGCCCTCACCCGACTCCCGATTTCATGGCAGCTCCTCTCCAGCTGTCCCCAACTAAGGCAGGCGCCTTTGCTCTGGTTTGTGTGAGTCACTCCCACAAGACGGACTCCTCGCCACAGATTTCACCAAAGGAGTTGAACAGTGAAGCTGATTGTATTTGTAGCTAAACCCAAACCACCACAAGGTACGTTTCTGTAATGCTTGCTCCTCACAGCCACCTAGGGAGTCCTGCCCTGGCCGCTTTTCTCCTTGGACTTGAGCCCTGGCTAAGCTGACTGCCCCACCCGCCTCCACCAACCTCCTCTTTCTCTTACTTGCTTCGTTCACTTTAGCTTTCTTCAAAAGAAAAAAAGCCACAGAAGTTTCCTGCTGTACTTAGTGCCAAAGGAATATAAAGAAATGAAGAGAATCTCTCATCATTACGCACAAAGGGCCCTCCCTCTTCCACACCCGGTGCACCACTTGGGCTGCAGGCACTGAGGCCCACAGAGCCCCTGCAGCAGAGCCCACCCTGTCCGAGTCCCACCACTTCCTCCTTCGCCTCCCCCTGCTTCTTCCTTTCACTCTCTCCTCTTGGATCCCAAAAGCTGTCCGCGAAAAGCGCTCCTGCCTGTTCTCCCTCCAGAGACCTAGGAGCCCTGCGCATAATGAACTAGGCAAGGAGACAGCAGAGCGATGCGTAGAAGGCTTCCTTGGAGCCGCAAGGTTTATTTGAGAACACCAGACAGAAAGCCGCTCTCTGGACCCCGGAGCGTTTCCAAGCCATCTGCGCAGCAGGCGCCGCTGAAGCGCGTTACAAAAGACAACGCACAAAGCAGTTTCTGTACCTAGACACCTCCGTTCTGCAGCTCCTCCTCCTCCTCCTGGAGCCTCTGTAGTTCCTCGTTGCTGGATTCGGTGGGGCACATCTTGTACCTGGGGCCCAGGGATCCCACCCCGGAGGAGCAGTGACGAAGCCAGAGGCTGCAGAGCCCGTAGACGGCGGCCAGCAGCAGGGCCATCAAGCCCAGGTGCCAGCAGAAGAAGGTGGTGAGGAAGGCCATGTCCTCGGTGCTGTCTCCCCGCCAGTGCTGTCCGGAGGGCGGAGTGTACAGCACCACACACAGCTGCAGCAGCCAGCTGCTGAGCACCAGCCCCATCCAGGTCTTGAGCACCCAGAGTGTGGGCTGGCTGGGGACCCAGACCTCGATGCTGAGCACCAGGGCTACCAGGAAGGTGGGCAGCATGAACAGCTGGTGCACGCGGACCTCCACGCTGCCCCTGTTCTCAATGTGCGTGGCCATGAGCAGCACCACCATGTAGAAGGCCAGGGCCTCGGCTGCCTGCTCCAGCCTCTCGTTCTGCCGCGCCAGATGCCTCTGGCTGACGATGTCCACCACCCCACTGAGCATAAAGAAGGAGTACATGGTGATGTGCTGCCAGCTCTCCTTGAACAGAAACGGCCGCTGCGGGGCCTCCCAATCCACCAGCCTCGTCCTGTTCACCCCCGGGGGGTAGAAGAGCTCACCCAAGATGCCGGTGAATGTGAGGGCCACCTTCACCACTCCTTCCACTGTTGTCCAGTGCCACCGATTGTGTCCTCGCTTCTCCCTTGGGGGTAGAGGTAGCTTAGGTCCCTCTGTCCCCATAGCAGGGTCAGGGACAGTAGCACAGAACAGTACAGCAAGAGGAAGGTCCCAGTCAGCAAGTGTCCCGCAAGGTCTGACCTGGCTGGGGAGTGTCTGGCCCAGCAGATGAGCAGCACCACACCTGCCTGTGTCCCCAAGCCGCTGAGCTGCAGAGACTGTCCTAGCACACACATCCTATCTCTCTCCTCCCACACAGAGGCAGGAGCCTCTGCCTGCCCCTTCCTGGGCGTGGGCTCCTTAGAGTACCACAGCTAGTGCTGCTCATGAGCCTGGGTTAGGGTTTCTCTCAGGCGCTTCCACACTGTGGGGACAGCATGAAAAGGGCTGTGGCAGAGAGGGACAGCCAACCAGCACTCCCGGATGGACTGTCAGTGCACAGCATAGTACTATGGTTCTCTCATTTCAATTTCTCAACAGCTCTCTAAAGCATCATTACCCAGAAAGCTCTAAGACTCAGGAGGCTGGTAGGACAAGTGAGTGGCAGTGCAGCTTGGTGCTGGCCCCACAGAGCCAAGGTGCAAACCAGGGTTTACTCATTTTGAAAGTCCAGAGTTTTTAGGTGGACACGGTGGTACAGGTCTGCGATCCCTGCACTCCAGAAGCTGAGACAGGAGGAGCACACTGAGTTAGAGGTCAGCCTGGGTTACATAATAAGTTCGAGGACAGCCTGAACTATGTGTTGAGACCCTTTTTCAGAAACAAGGCTGGCAAGATAGCTCAGTGGACTAAAGTGCCTGCTTAGGCAAGTTTAGGCAAGCACAAGGACTGTGATTCGATCCCCTGCACCGCATGCCAACCCCGCCCCCACGGCAGGCTGAGCCAGCCAGAGTCCCAGCATAGTGCCGCATGCCTGTAATCCCAGCTCTGGGGAGGCTGAAAGCAGGAGGACTGCCACGAGTCCAAGCTCCATAGTGAGACCCTGCAAGAACCAAATACATAAAAAAAAAAAAAAAGGAAAAGAAAAAAGAAAGAATTATACAAATTCGGAGTTTGCAGCAAAATGATTGAATTTCATCTCCCACTAACGGGAGGCAACTGACTTTGTCTTTTGAGGCTTACTTTCCTGTCCTAGAGATCAAACCTATAATTATTTTATAGGTTTGTTGTAAAATTTAAATAGGATAATGTATGCTAAGTGTTTGAAGTATAGTAAACACTGAATAAATGGTAATGAGTGTTAATAATTTTACTTTTGTTATTACCATCATTCATTGTTATTCAAACCCCGAAGGTGTTTGAATATTTCTCTGAATGATATCAAGACAGTCATCACCAAGACAAAAAAGAAAAATAATTGAATCTTAAATCTCATTAATGTAATTGGAATATAATGTTTATTTATTTATTAAAATTAGAGTTACGTCATGTGCTCAAGGCACACCTCCCCCACACGTGCGCAAGCAGTGCCCCACCCCGACAGGGCTAGAATATCGGCCAATTCCAACCAGCTCTGTGCTTCCCTTCCCCTTGACACTGGGGGGCAGAGGCAAGGAATGACCGACCAGCTTTATCCTGAACAAGGACAACGCACAGGGATGGAAGGACGAAAAGAGACCTCGTGCCTGGCTGTATGGAGTCCAACAGAACATCCGAGCCTACACCCCACAGCTGACGTCCGCCGAGACCAGCGGGGTGGTCACATTTCCCCTCTACGAGTGGAAGCGCGGACTTGTCTGGGCTCGGACGGTGTCCACAGTCTGAGGTGAACAGACAGAGGGGCTGTGGTGCAGGAGGGGGATCTCAAAAAGCCATAGTTCCTGCCTGGCAAGTACAAGGTCCGAAGTTTGATCCCCAATATTGCAAAAAGCCCAAAACAGAACAAAACCTCACAGCCCTAAAGCTAGGCAGGGAAAAGCGTGACTGACCCGATCCAGAACTGCGGAGCGTGACAATAAATCACTCATTCGAAAACAAAGGAATGTTTTCATTGACTCAGTCTTTTTTAAATTTTTCTATATAAAAATATTTTATCTTTCCTTCACTTGATTTTTAAGGGCTTGAAGTTGGTTGCCCTCTTTTTTCTCTTTTAGTTTTTCTTTCTTTTCCTTTTTCCCCTTTCAACATTTTTCTCTTCCTTCTCATCTTTCTTCTACTATATTTTGTTCTATTTATCTTTTTCTTCTTCTTTTTTTTTCCTTTTTGGTGACTGTTCTTGAACTCTATTAATCTTCTTTTACTCCACAATAGGACCCCCATCCCACTTTTCTCCCTTCCTACTCATATCTCACTGAGTAATGTCTCAAATTTTGCCTTTTCATTCTGTGGCTCCCTCTTCCCTCTACCTTTATTAGTATAGCTACTAACTTTATGAATCTCTACACAGCTAGGTAACTGCACTAGGACTGTTGAACACTGCTCTATTGTTAATATGGATAAAGTTATTCATTTTTAGTAGATATTTATTATAGATCAACACTTGGTTTGTCCCAATGTTCATACTATAGGTTTTTTGTTTTTTGGGGTTTTTTTGAGTGGAATACTACAGTTTTTTAATCCCTTTTCAATGGTTTAGGGTGGTATAAATATTTATCCTCAGGATTTGTCACTATTCAGTTTCTCATTGTTGCTGATTCATTACCATAGCCAAGTCACATCACGGTTGCTACTAATTGATTTTCTTGGGATACCAATACCTAGATTGCCTTGTCATCAACAATCCATTCCTAGAAAACTGGATACTGGGACAAATATGCTGCAATCTCCCACCCTAAATAAATGCAAGTCACTGAATCCGGGAATAACGGCAAAGGTCTCTTGTTAGCCGTGCCCGGAGGACACCACTGAAAAATAGACATTAACTAAAGAGGTCTCCATACAGGCAAAGAAAACTTGCCATTACAATTTACCCACAAGTCTCAAAACAAAGACAAACAACAACAACAACAGCAGCAACAAAAATAGAAACACAAGAAGATAAGCCAATAAAATGTCTCCAAAAACTTCCAACTCACTCAAAGCTCATCTGTGAGGCATTGAAGGGGATAAGACCCAAAGCCACATGCCTGAATTATTTGAAATATCAGGAGAGATAACAAGACAGAGCAATAAGGCATCTGACAAGCTCACCAGAGATATATAAGTAAACACATATTAAGCCAAATAAAATAATCAGAAAGTCTACAGAGACATTAATAAAAGACTAGTAGAGGGCCAGTGAGATAGCTCAGCGGCTTAGGCACTTGCCTCATATGCACAAGGTCCTGAGTTCAATCTCAGGTACAAAAACAAAAAACAAAAAACAAAAAACAAAAAACAAAAAAAAAAACCACCTAGTAGAGCTAAACAGAATGATGCACGAGATGCACGATCAGCATAGAAAAGAATCAGAGTCCGGGGCCAGGAAGATAGCTCAGTAGAATAAGTGCTTGCCTGGCAAGTGCAGGGTCCTGAGTTCAATCTCTGGTACCACAAAAAAAAAAAAAAAAAAAAAAAAGATTACAGTCCATAAGAAAGCTCCAAACAGAAAACTCAGGAGAATTTTCTAGGCCCTGTACTAAAACTACATTAAAAAAAAAAAAGTCAGAGAAAAGAAACAAAATCACTAATAAAGGAAACCCCTTTAGAATTACAGCAGATTTTTCAACACAAAATTTAAAGACCAGGCGACCTTGGAATGAACAGTTTCTTTTTGGGGGGCGGGGTGGTGAGATACTGGGGGTCAAACTCGGGACCTTGTCAGGTAGGTGCCTAAACTGCTGAGCTATCTCCCCAGCCCCTGGAATAAAATCTTTCAAGCCCTAAAAAAACAAAAACAAAACAGTTTCCAACCCAGCCTGATATATGCTGTAAAACTGTCATCCAAAATTGATGGAGAAAAAAAGATGCTTTCATGATAAAGAGCACCTAAAGAAATTCATGATCACCAAACCAGCGCTCCAAAAAAATTCTCAAGGATGCCCTAGAAAGAAACTGCAAAACTAACCAACCATGACAAACGGTCTAACAGAATGATCACACCCAGTAGGGTGAGCAGTTAGGCAGAAGGAAAGCAAATCATTGGAAAATGAAGCAATATAGAATGAAGTCAATATCTGTCAGTAATAACTCTCAATGTTAATGGTCTCAATTTTCCAATCAAAACACACACACTGGCATAATGGATCAATAAGCAAAATCCAACATTATGCAGTATACAAAAACAAAACAAAACAAAAACAAAAAAAGCCTTCACAGACAAAAAGCAAAGGATGGAAGATAGTATTCCATGCAATGGTGATTGTTTGAAGATGTCTCTAACTCTTTCTGGAAAGTACCTAGAAGGGGAATAGCTGTGTTGAATAGGTTTCTAGTTTTAGGGGTTTGTTTGTTTGTTTGTTTGTTTGGTGGAACCGGGGATTGAACTCAGGCCCTTGCGCTTGCCAGGGAAGCGCTTATTCCACTGAGCCATCTCCCCGGCCCTAGTTTTAGTTTTTAAGGAATCTTCTCACCAACTTCCACAGTACTTGTACTGGTTTCCATTCCCACCAGCAACCTACAAGTGTTCCTTTCCCCACAGCCTCGCCAGCATTTGGTATTGTTTGCTTTCTTGATTCCAGCCATTCTTTCTCAATAAGATGAAATCTTAGCGTTGCTTTAGTTTGTACTTCTCTACCGGCCAGACATGTTGAGTGTTTCCTCATGTACTAACTGGCCATTTGTTTCTCTTCTTCAGAGAAGTACCTATGCATTTCAGGTGCCCCCCTTTTCTGATTAGGCCTTTTATTTTGAGGTGATCTAAGTTTATCTTACTTCTTTATATGTTCTAGATCCACAATGGTGAAACTTTCAGAGACTGTGTGCACAAACTGCAACCTCAAACCCACTAATTTATCACCAAGCGCCAACACTGCAATCACACCTGATGAAAACAACCGGATTGCTCCGGTCTGAACCACAGGGAGGCTCCGCGTGCGCAGTGCAGCGCGCACGCCACACCTGCTCCATGGCTGCTCTGGATTCAGTCCACTGTCCGAGTAGCTGGAAAGAAGCTCCTCTTCTGTAGGTTGTCTCTTCACGCTGTT